AAGCACCAAGATCTAAACAGTGGATGGTAAACAGTCAAGGAGTTCAGAAGTGTGACAGGTTGTTTCAGCCCTGAGTCGGAGTCTGCAGTTTGTGAACTTCTCTACTGTCTATCAGGAACCTGCTGGGGGAGAATCCCACCGACAAGCTGGACATCAAGATGAACCCTGACGGCAGCGGACAGCTCTACGTCCCCGGACTGACCGAGTTCACCGTCCAGAGCCCTGAGGACATCAACAGGGTGAGGACTTCCTGCTGCGCTCGTCCTTTCAGTGTAAAACACCTGCAGTCAGTGGCCGGTGTCTGATATTTGTCTGAAACCTTCTGAGACGTTCAAAACTGTTCTCATTCAACGTACACTTACTCGCTACTTGTTTGTCAATCTTCACTTTCTGAGAGGAAATAAAAACTTAATAAGAGCTGAAACAGTCAATTAGTCGATTAGTTAATGGACTTTTGACATTTTTGAGAGCAAATAATAAGTTGATTTATCAAGAAGAAGAAATGAATATTTCCAGCTCTGCAGATGATACGTGTAAAGTTAAAAGAATGAACTGTCTGTTTACCTCTGACTGTGTGTGTGTGTGTGTCTACCTGTCCTCAGGTGTTTGAGTTGGGTCACATGAACAGAGCGACAGCCTGCACCAACCTCAACGAACACAGCTCTCGCTCACACGCTCTGCTCATCATCACCGTGTCTGGATTCAACTCTGCTACCGGGAACCGCACACAGGGTACACAAACACACACACATACATTAACACACACACACACATCTCATTTGGTGTGTTTTAGCCTTTAGTCTTGTTGCACTTTATGAATTCATGTGCTAACTCTTTACCTTTATTTCCACTTTAAAATCTCCCAGTTTTGTTGTGAGTCGAAGCCTTTCACATATAAAACCGTATCATCTGCGTAACAGTTACGATAACAGATATTATGGTAACGATATAGTTAATGTGTGAACAGTAAAGGACCCAGCACAGAGCCCTGTAGTTGAATGCGGTTTTGATTGTTTCTGGTGGTTTTGGTTGCAGGTAAGCTGAACCTGGTGGACCTGGCGGGCTCGGAGAGGATCGCCAAGTCGGGGGCGGAGGGTAGTCGGCTCAGAGAAGCTCAGTGCATCAACAAATCTCTGTCGGCGCTCGGAGACGTCATCAATGCGCTACGGAGCAAACACTCCCATATCCCTTTCCGAAACTCCCGCCTCACCTACCTGCTGCAGGACTCCCTGAATGGGGACAGCAAGACCCTCATGATGGTTCAGGTGAGACCAGGACGAGGACTACAGGACCGGATTCTACAAATCCATTATCAATCAATCTGCCCATTTTTTAAGAGTCTAAAACCCAAGAATGATTATTATCTATTGTTATATTATCGTTTTTATATTTGCTGATCGACGTGCTGATTGATTGATCGACGTGCTGATGGATTGATCGACATTCTGATTGATTCCCTCTCTGCGGTCTGCAGGTGTCTCCGCTGCCGACCAACATGAGCGAGTCTGTCTGCTCGCTGAAGTTTGCTCAGCGCGTCCGCAGCGTCGAGCTGAGCTCCTCGTCCTCCAGGAGACACGAAAACTCGTCCACCTCGTCCTCACCGACGCACGACAGCGTTGAGGTAACGGGCACCGTTCGTGACGTCACTACAGCATATAGTTTGTTTGATTGATTTGTTTTATTGTTTTTCTTAAACTCATGTTGACAACAATATTTTATATCAGCTCTACAATGCTCCGAACAAATAATAGTAAAGAATATTCATTAATTACATAATATAAATTAAAACAAGTGATAATATTTTTAGAACAAATTTTATGAGAAAATAAAGATAAAGCTTGTAAATAAAATGGTAAAATATTTTAATTTAAAAAAAGTAAATAAATTAAACCAAAACAGTATTTAAAAAAATTAAAATACAGAAAAAAAGACAATAAATAAAACAAATATTGATGATTTCTATAATTCATGTCGACCTTTGACCTCTCCTCAGCTGGACTCCCCCCCGGTGACTCCCGTCCCTCTCCCAATCTCTCGGGCCAGCAGCGCCGGCTCCACCCTCTCCTCCGCCTCCAGAACTCCCAGCAGCTCCCGCAGGAGGTCCCAGTCCCAGCTGTCCACAGGTACAGACACACACACCTGTATACACACCTACAGGTACAGGTACAGACACACACACCTGTATACACACCTACAGGTACAGACACACACACCTGTATACACACCTGTACACACACAGGTATATGTGTCTGTTTCTCTCATAGATTCAGTGTAATGTTCATTTAGAGTCAATCACTCTGATTATTGATTGTTTCACAGCTTCTGCTTTACTGTTTCTGATCAATACGTAGAGAACCACTGACAGTACGACCTGTGGATGTAACTAATAAATACATCAATTAATAGTTTGATCATTAAATCCTGAATGTTTTTAATCAATTTATTTAAATATCAGTTTTTACATGAGAACATTATAACCGCGTCCTTCAGTCTGGCGCTGATTGATTACTAATCATTGTTCCTAATAATTGATTATAAACTGATCATTGCAGCTCAACCGTCAAAC